CGTAATGTTATTTTTATCCGCTTACTGTCGACAAAACAAAGTTTTCGTTCCAATGGATTTAAACTGAAACTCCAGTTATATTCCATCCCAAGAACAAGCTATATGTAATTATGACTTCGTTATCGCTAAAGACAGACGAAGTAACAATACAGCATAATCCAGACAACTTTTATTAACATCATTATCCCTACATCGTTTCTCTTACACTCATTTAAGCTATTATGTATTTTCATTTTAAAAACCATCGCACAAAAGAGAGATAATTCTCTAACGCACTTTGTTATCGTATGTCTTTTGACGTTAAATCTAACTATATTATTATTTTTTGATTGATAGGGAATTGAAAATTATAAATCAATATGAAAAAGTTTAAATTTAAACAATTAATAATTTTCAATTAAAAACTTAATTTGGCAGAACCTTAACCAATTCCAGTACTTAGTAGTGTATAGAAAATATATGTTTAACCAAAATAAATTATGTCAATATAGAGTATAAATGCTTCGTTTAAAAAATACCTGTCATGGAATGTTCTACTGTTTTCGGCTAAAAAAGCTATAATCAAATATACTACTATGTAAGTATATTTACTTCATTTTATTCCACAAATCGCATTTTGATTTACTTCACAACAAATCGTTCGCGTTAATCAACAACCAAACATACACTCACCGGCACAAAAAAACGGGCACCAAAAATTTTGATGCATTTTAAAGTTTTATATATATTTTGTTCTAGTGGATCGATTTTGATGATTTTAGTAACTCTTTTTAAATTAAAAATGAATGTTTCCATCCGCCAATTATATGAGATAAAAGAAAATGTTGATATTTTGGTGAGAGTTTGAAACACCCTGTCGAATATGTTAAGACAGCAAGTAATTTAAAAATCATTTTATCATCTAGGTACATCCTTTCTCGATAGTTTGTTTTTAGGTTCATCTCAATAGCTTTATTTTTGTTGGAGATATTCGCTTTTGAAGAAGACACAGACATGTTTTCGTAAATTTTACATTAAAACCATGCCTTTGCTTCTGGTCCTAGTCAACAGACCTAGTAAGTTGTGGCCTTCTTGACTTAAGATTTACTTCGTTTAATCTTCGCCTTACAGTCTGTTGAATTACATTACAGCCTGTTCACTTAGGTGTAATCCTGTTTTTATTATAAACGCGACAGTTTGTATGTTTGTTACTCTTTCACGCAAAAAACTACTGAATGGATTGAAGAAACTATAGCGGATACAACTTCTGGAAACCAACTGTGCTAGAGTACCTGCCCAATAGCCAACAGACAATAATAATATGATTTTTCAATAACAGTGATATTATACAGGTTGGCGCACCTCATTCGCCTCGGTTGATTATACGAAAACGGAAAGATGTAGAAACATAATTTTTTATGGGTATATGTAGAAAGGCAATGTGCATAATTTGAGATTATTTTCAAATGTACAGGGTGTGTCAGAACTAAGATCTATACCAAAGTTATATTTTTTCTTATGGAACACCCGGTATTTTATTTCATATGCATGCTATAATAAAAACGTTTGTCAACACCCTGTACATTACTTTTCAGAGTTAATTCTAGTACTGACTTTAAAGCCAGGGAAATAAACTTTACTAAAAAAAATTATTGCTTCCTGAAATGTATACAGGGGTATCAAAAATTGCTGGTCTATTTTAAATATTTATTTTAAATAAAAACTTCGTTATTTCAAATACAACACAGTGACAGTTAGTAGATGTTTTCAAAATCGACATTAGTTTATGGACTTTATTTAAATTTATAACAGTTTACTTTTATTTAATTTACCTACAATAGTTTAATAAGTAAGTATTTATTATTTTATCAAAAAAAAAAAGAAATAGTTCTTTTTGATTTATATTACGATGATTTTCTATAAAAGAACCAATTAAGGCAAATTCATTTTCTTCACTTCCAACGACAAGTTTCTGCCTAATAGGTTTTTCATATACCACACTATCAGCTCTGCGAAATAGGATAAGTTGTTTTTCAAAGGAACGCTTGTCAAGAAAATTCATATTTGGACGCTTGTTAAGAAAATTCATATCTTTGGGCATAAACTCTTCAGGCTAACCCTCCCCCAAGCGATTGTCCTCACAAAATAAAAAAAACCACTAGTAACATATCCATTCCTTCGGCAGATACTGCTTCATTTTTCTGGACAAAATAATAAATACTTACTTATTAACCTTATTGTAGATAAATTAAATAAAAATAACCTGTTATAAATTAAAATAAAGCCCATAAACTAATGTCGATTTTGAAAATAGCTGCTAAGTGTCACTAGAAAATTGCCATATTCAAAATCTGTTTGAAAGAGCATTTAATTCTGCTTTGACTTATTTAAAAAAATACAGGGTGTTGTATTTGAAATAACGAAGTTTTTATATAAAATATATATTTAAAATAGACCAGCAATTTTTAATACCCCTGTATACATTTAAGGAAGCAATCAAGTTTTTTAGTAAAGTTTATTTCTCTGGCTTGAAAGTCAGCACAAGAATTAATTCTGAAAAGTAATGTACGAGGTGCTGACAAACTTTTTTATTATAGCATGCATAATTAAATATCTTTAAATATCTCAAAAACCAAAGCTTTCAAACATATTAAAACCTTATAATAAATGCCTTATTTTACGTCCAAGAATCCAAAAATGAAATAAAATACCGGGTGTTCCATAAGAAAAAACATAACTTTGGTATGGATCTCAGATCTGACATACCCTGTACATTTCAAAATAATTTTAAATTATGCGCATTGCCTTCCCACATGTACCCATAAAATATTTTGTTTCTACATCTTTCCATTTTCGTATAATCAACCGAGGCGAATGAGGTGCGCCACCCTGTATATAAATCATAAACACTATTTTATAGGTCTATTGACTAGAACCAAAAGGAAAGGCATATTTTTTTAATGCAAAAAAATGTTAGTGTCTTCTACAAAAGCGAAATCTCCAAAAAAAAGCTATTGAGATGAACCGAAAAATAAACTATCGAGAAAACATGCACCTAGATGATAAAATAATTTTCAGATTCTTTGCTTTTTTAACATATTCCACAGGGTGTTCCAAACTTTCACCAAAATAACATTTTGTACTTCCTCGTATAATTGCAAGATGGGAATTTTCATTTTTCATTTAGAAAGATATACTAAAAAGTAAAAAAAAAATAGCTTCTAACTGGTTAAAAGATCGTCAAAATCGGTTCACTAGAACACAATACATAAAACTTTAAAATACATCAAAATTTTAAGGTGTCCGTTTTGGTGCCGGTGAGTGTATAATAAAGAGGGACAAAATAAATCTAGAAGATTCACAGTTCAAATTTCGCCCTTTACAAATTTAGATTGTAATTAAGCAAATGTATACTTTGAACGATTTCCGTATTTAAGCAACTCGTCTAAAGAAATAACTGTCTAGCAGTTAAAAGGCCTTTAGAAATGATTATTTTCACTCCAACGCCAAAGAGTTTCCGGTGATTCGTCTAAATATGGTTTAAATATACTGAAATAAATAAGGTAGTCTTTTTTCCGGTTTAAGAAAATAAACTTTGCTTTAGCTTTTCACAGATTTTTAAATAAATTAGTATTCGAGTAACGAATAATTACTTTTACCAATACCAGTAAAAAAATGTCTGGCAGAGAAAAGAAATTCGTTTCTCAAATCTAAATATGTTAATCGTCCCATCAAGTTAACAGGAAATTGATTTTTTAAGCCAATATCAATTTTAAGCAATTCCATTTGGTACAGAATATAAATTAATATCCGTGTACAAATATAAAATGGGATTTTCTTCAAAGACGAAAAAATATCAGAGTTCACCTTAGAATATACATATAAAATTGAATTATTATATTTCTTTGTTAATTTTAATTTTTTTTACCAAACGATAAAAAAAACGGCGTCAAAGACGGCTGGGGAATATCATTCCATGATAAATTTTGGCCAGGTCAAGCCCTAGACGTTTTTACTTCTTTGTGTTCACGTTTATGTGAAGCGGTTAAAACATTTCTGGTAAATGTATATTCTTTTACACGATTTTTTCGAAAAGTTAAGTAGCTTTCCAATGTATTTTTATTACGTTGAATAATAATTTTACTTTTGAAGATAACTTTGAAGGAACTAAATATGGATGGAAAATATATCATATTATTTATATAAACTAATAAAATAGAATACATCAATCGATATCCTATAGAAAATACTATAAATTATTTTAACTTTATATCTCTTAAATATTACTACTGTGGTATTTAATATAGGTTTATAAATAACTGTCAAAAACAGCTTTCTAAGTTGAAATTATTAAATAAATGGTGAAACAGATTTGTACATTCTAATCCGAATAAATCCTTGAGCATAAATAACTGCGATTTACAAATGAAAATGTATTGTTTTTGAAAGGAATTATGTCTAATTATATAAATATGGCTAAAATTAAACTTATTTCAAATAAGGTATAAAAAATAAATGAATTATTAGAGACTATGCAGGTAAGGGATTAAGGTCTAAATAATATTCAGTTGCCTTTATAGGTTGCTTTACCTGCTATCATTTAGTATATTATACAGGGTGAGTCATAAATAAGTGCTGATTTTTATCCACATTTAAGCTATAGCCTTACGCCGGTCTTACATGTCCAGAGAGAAGTATAAACGACAAAAAGCATAGTAAATAAAAATATTCTTCAACTAAAATGACAGACAACAATTATTGTGATTGTTATACTGATATTCCCTCAGTAGACAGACTATACCTACCTTAAAAGTGGATAAAAATCAGAGAAGCGAGAGAAAAAGAGAACAAATATTAAGTACTTTTTAAAACGGTAACTAAACCAGATCATTTGATATTTGAAAGTATCTTCTTCAATTTTATATAAAATTCCGTACGATATTGGAAAATAACTTCCTTAGAACTCTACCGTAGCTCGTGAGGCAATATATCACTGTCAGCGATTTCTTTTCTTGTTTCAGCATGGCCAAGAGCACAAATTTCACCATCAGGAGAGTGAATACTACGAACAGGGAGCCCTCGTTCCAAGTGAAAGGTTTGAGGCCCTACACAGTTTATAGCTTCCAGATAATAGCATGGAACGCAATCGGTCCTAGCAATCCTAGCAAACCCTCTTATTTTATGGTCACTTTGCGAGAACGTAAGTCGTAGCTTTTTTCCTTTCAAATTTAACAACTTAATTTTCATTTTTTTGCTCGTCCTTATTTTTTTCCACGTTAGATATTTTATCGATTACTACACCACAGTTCATAGACAGTTATATTCAGTTTCAGTTCCAAAAATAAACATCGTAAACCGAAATTATACAGTATGATCGAAAAAAAACGGCGTCAAATATGGCTGGGGAATGACAATCGAAGATAATTTTAGCGAGTCATTTATTAAGAATTTATATAAAACTTGTCGAAATTTAACACTAAGGTGAACTGGACGTCAGAAATGACGTCTAAGGCTTGTCTTCGCCAAACTATCACCGATTGTCATTCCCTAGTCGTCTTTGACGTCTTTTTTTCGATCGTAGGAATATTCCGGATATTCTTATTTACTTCCTCACATCTTCATGTGTTTTGTAAATTATTACAGTCTCTTAATATTTAATATAACTCTGTTTTAGTGTTCAGTATATTCATTGTATAACCACTTTTTAGAATTTTATATTTTTTTAACATTTAAAAATTAAAATTAATTTAAACAATCTAAAAAATTATAAACACCATGGTTCGACTTTTAACAGGCTATATTTATTTTTAAATAATGATGTGTCTTAATTTGTTTGATTTACCTTTTTATAATGTTCGTAGGTGTTTTTTTAAGAGCTAATTATTTACATTTTTCTCTGTTGGAAATCCATATGATTGATCCTGATTTATTTGAAATTAATATATTTTATTACATTTTCACAGGCTTTTGTTAAAGAGAAGCAAAGCCGACAATGAAGTGTCAATTTTCATCATTTGCTTTATATTCTCTATATTATTTTGTCTTCAGTATTTAAAATACTCTCTTAAAAATGTTATTAATTTTATATTTTTTTTATCTACCCTAAATATTCTAATTTTAAATTTACTAACTGTTTAAATAACATATTGTTTAAGGACATACCTTACTTCATCGTTGTAGATAATTGAAACTAATAATTAATAAAAAGTAGTTTTTAATAAAAAAAGAATAAAAAATAAATTAATAAAAAATAAGAAGAATAAAAAATCGTAGAAGTCTATTAATAATAAATATTAATAAAAATAAGAAAAAAAATCAATATTGATAGCATACTAATTGTGATCTAAAAACCCTACCAAAAAAAAATAAAAATAAAAATTAATATAGAACTAAAATAAATTAATATTTTAACTTTAAAATAAACTGTCCATTTAATATTCCAAGCAAAAAACACCAAAGAACATGATTTTTTAATACAATAACGTTTTAGTTTATAAATTGCATTCGAACCGCTGTAAAAATATTTTACGATTTCGTAATTAAAACGCTTCGTTAATGTCATTCTTTGACTCTGTTCGAAATAGTATTATTTACCCAAATCATTTTTTCATTGTGGTTCAAATGCAGTGAAAAGTTCATTTATAATTTATGCCTTTATTGACGTTGTTTCGTTTTATTAATTTTCTGTTATATTTCAGCATATAGCTTGCATTTGACATTGATAATAATCTATATAAAAAGCAGATATTTCGTTTAAATTGGTAATAGCTTCGAGGCCTAGAGTGGTGAAAATATAGACATATTATGTGTCTGCAAAAAACATATTTTTGAATAATAATATTAAAAAAGTACTAGATATTTAAAAAAGACTATACAGAAAAATATAAAAATATATAGGTAGATACTAATATTTTGAATTTAATAATTTAAATACATGATAATAAAACAGTTTTAATGTATTCTGTATTCTATACATTATAAAATACGTTGTTCTTTGAAATAATTTCAAGATTCAAAGAATTACCACACAATCAATATATCCAAAATATTTGTTATTTGTAAAATACCAAAATGTCTCCATTGGCAAAACCTTAATTTTTGGTAGATTTTTTTAATGATTTAAACTAATGCTTCTTAAATCATAGAAGTAAATAAGCAATATATATTTAAACCCCTGTAAATATTAATATTATTACTATTTATTTGACATATTTTTATTTGTAATAAATTGACATTTTGTAGGGTAAGATCTGCAGAAAACATTTTCGTTTGTCTAGGATTTTCGAGACTGTCTCTTTAGAAAAAGTAAATAGAATGTTAAAAAACCATACGAAACCCACATAGGTTTTGTAAATCCCATTCAGTATAAGAACCAATAACAAATCGATTTAGAATAGAGGTAAGACAAGTATGAAATGTCTTTTATGGTCCAAATTACTCGTGGGACCGAAGATGTTCAATTTCTGAAAAGTTTCAAGCAATCTGTCTCACCAGCATGAAACTTTAAGTATTTTCGTTTATGATTTTTCCGAACAATTTTCAGATAACAGCGTTTCTTGTTGTGTAGCTTTTTTTCCGTCTAAGAAATGGAGTTAGGTTAAATCGAAGTTAGAGTATGTAATAAAGTTGGCCCTAGAGGACTTCGAAAATATAATGGCGAGAATAGTTTGATAAATTGTCAATTTCAAGTATATAGAAGTTTTATGTGACTTTCCGGAATTTCTCTCTTATGAAAACATTAGATTTATTAGCCTAGCGCCGCCTCACCTATAAATTCGATCAAAAAATGTCCTAAAACAATAAAACGGGCTTTAGAATGAACTTATCTGAAGAAATAAATCCCTTTGCTGTAATATACACGTTATCACATTTAAAAATGGACACTACACTACTACTATTGCCTGTAATTTCAAAACCCACTGTGACGCTATTTTTTTTTCAGTAGTATTCCGCTATTTTAAAAAGGTAAAAGTATTATATACATAAAAAAAACAAAAGTTTTACTCTACGAAAGTTAAGAAGCAGTTTTCGAACTTGCTCACGTAGAATCATTCGTTGAAATTTAGTACCTTCAAAGTGGTCCATTAAGAATTCAGCATTATTTGTGGGTTATTTACCAATTAGAAGTTTGAAACTCATTTTCTTTTTATTCCTTCGGAGAAAATGGCCACAGAAACCAACCTGTGTGAAGTTTTCTAAATTAAATACGAAAAGTTTGATGTATAAGTAATCATGAAAGTCTAATAAATTTGGGCGCAGAAAATTTGCATGCTTTTAAATTTTGTCTCGTATTTCCTACCATCTCAACTTACCGATAGTTTTAATGGAATTATGAAAATGTATTAAAAGAAAAAGAAAAATTACTTGATTCTTTAAAACTTAACGAAAATAATAATTACATTAGGAAAAAGAAAAAACTATTTAAATTTTCTAAATAAAATTATTTAAGAACAATTTTTTTGAAACAAATTTAATTTAAACCTACCTAATAGGTACCATACTATCGAAAAAAAACGGCGTGAAAGACGACTGGGGAATGACAATGGAAGATAATTTTAGCGAGGTCAAGCCCTTGATGTCATTTACTTGACTTTCTTCTTTATCCTATCCTTCTATTCCTATATTCCTAATCAACATAAACACTATTTTATAGATCTGTTGACTAGGACGAAAAGCAAAGGTATGGTTTTAATGTAAAAATTACGAAAAAATGTTAGTTGTCTTCACAAGCGAATATCTCCAACAAAACTAAAGCTATTCAGATGAACCAAAAAACAAACTATTGAGAAAAGGTACGCCTAGATGTTAAAATTATCCTTAAATTCCTTGCCTTGTTAACGTACTCTACAGGGTGTTTCAAATTTTCACCAAAATATCAACATTTTGTTCTCCCTCGTATAATTGACGGACGGCAACTTCCATTTTTAATTTAGAAAGAGATACTAAAAAGACAAATAATTTGGCTACAAATTGCTTGAAAAATCATCAAAATCGGTTCTCTAAAACACAATATACAGGGTGTTTCAAAACAAATGCGAAAAACTTCAGGGGATGATTCCTTGTTCAAAATAAAGGGTAGTTTGCTTCATAAACGTTGGGTCAAAAGCCAACCATTAGGGAGATATTGCGGTACAAAGATGGCGGAAAAATAATGTTTTTATTTTTTATCTTGAAAACGAAAAGAGATAGACTAATAAAATTGTATGGAAGCATTACTGTTATGAAAACACACTTTCTGGTAATTTTTTCACTTTTTTAAAATGAGTGGTGGGTTGAAATAAACTACCCCTATCATTCTTGTTAACGAAATTTAAAGAAAAATATTATCAAATACATGCAATAAAATTAATTTGGATAGTTTAGTTTGTTTAGAAACTTTTTTATCTCTTGTATTTTTTTGATAAAACTCACCGATTTGAAATTAAAAAATAAAATGTAAAGCATTACATGTCAGGACAAAAAACATTTTCTGATAAAGAATCTAGTGGGCTGCTGTAATTTTTTTAGGAAAAAATCTAGTCGGCCGCTGTTACTTTTTAGGACGTTCCTAATATTATTTTATTTCACATTACTCTACTGCAATACGTTATTATCTAGATGATTATTATTATCGTTATTATCACTAGATTCTTAATCTAAAAATGTTTTTTGTCCTGACATGTAATGCTTTACATTTTATTTTTTAATTTCCAATCGGTGAGTTTTATCAAAAAAAAACACAAGAGGTAAAAAAGTTTCTAAACAAACTAACTATCCAAATTAAAGCATTTGCATGTGTTTGATAAGATTTTTCTTTAAATTTCGTTAACAAGAATGATAGGGGTAGTTTATTTCAACCCCTTCCACTCAGTTTAAAAAAGTAAAAAAATTACCTGAAAGTGTGTTTTCATAACAGTAATGCTTCCATAAAATTTCATTAGTCTATCTCTTTTCGTTTTCAAGATAAAAAATAAAAACATTATTTTTCCGCCATTTTTGTACCGCGATATCTCCCTAATGGTTGACTTTTGACCGAACGTTTATAAAGCAAACTACCCTTTATTTTGAACAAGGAATCACCCCCTAAAGTTTTTCGCATTTGTTTTGAAACACCCTGTATAAAACTTTAAAATGCATGAAAATTCTAAGGTGTCCGTTTTTCGTGCCGGTGAGAGTAGTTTTATTTTAGCTATTCTTATATTAACAAATCAACAGTATATA